CTTGAGGCGACATTTGTTGTGATTTGGCGCTATATAAATAAAATTGAATTGAATTGAAATGGATGGGGTGGAGTTAAGTGATGAACCAATGGGGAGCACCAAGGCCCAGAATAAGACTGATAGGGATTACAGAGGCTGAAAACAAAACTACAGAGCTGAAAATGAGCACATCAGGACTCCTTTCAATCTCATTCTTTTAAATAGGAAATGTATACCTCCTCAAGGGTGTGATATCTCTCATAAAAAGTTGAGCCGCTTCGTGGGTCAGTGGAGTCATTCTTCATCTGCATTTCGGTCAGCACATTAGGATTAGCCAGTAAGACCCTAAAATAAACATGCAAACACAAATGATTCACTTGGAATGAAATGTGACCCGATGCTTAGTGAATGGTGTGCATTAAGCAGCATACTTGTGTGTTATGCCATGTTTCTGCAGTATAGCCTTGACTGTCACAGAGCTGTTTGCAGGGACATAGAGGTGGACCTGCACTTGTGTACTGATGTACTCATTTGAAACAGGCTGCCACAGGACTGTCTGTGAGAAAATATCTGATGTAATGAATCACAGAAGTAAAAACAAAACATTACAGGTGTATGATCACTCAACTTTAATGCCTACCTCATAGTGTGTGGATACATTCCTCAAGATGTCCACTTGTTCTTGTGTTTGTGGGGTGATCGATAGAACTTGGTCACTAAATTTAAAAAATAAAAAATGCAGTTCACATACAGCCATATAGTACCGATCTCACTCGGTTACCCATAGGGAGTGTATTTGCATGTGTCACAATATGGTTGCAGGTGTTTACACAGGAGTGTCATAATCATTTTTAAACGGTTCAAAATGAGAGTAAAGACTTATAATCTAAACAAAAAACAAAAAAAAAACAAAACAACCACAGACAGAAATCTCTGCTAAGATGTCTCACCTTGTTTCTGTGCAGTATCCTGGCTTCAGTAGTATGCTCAAATTCATGAAAACAAACCAAATCAAAGGAGTCGACATGATGTCAGGGTCCAGCTGGAATGGAAAAGGCAGAGATCCGCTCAAAGTATGAGGGCAGGGAGACGATATTGATTGAAACTGTGTTTATTTAGAAGTTGAACTTTACTTTTAGAGAAGAACAAGGGCACGGGTCAGCTGAGCCAGAGCCCTCTGCTTAGTTAACTGCTACTGTTAAATTGTAAACAACTTTATCAACTTTTGTAGTACAAATCGCAAAAGTCTAAAGTTACGTCAGCTCTACGCTTCTTCTTTTTAATAGTAGGCGTAACACCTCCTCGCCTCTGGGTGGCGCCAGATAAAAGGGAAATACTATAGAGTTTGAGGTTCACGTGGGGGGGGAACGGGAAGAAAACAGCATAGGGGGAAAGTGGAAGCGATTTTTGTGATGTGTTGTTAAATTTCCATTGCCAAGATGTCGGCCCACGATCAGCTGGCCCACTATTTGTGTGAGTTAACAAGGTAGGATATATTTGTTTTTAAAGCACGCGCTCAAGCCGGGATAACAGGATAAACGGTCGCGTGGGGAAACCGAGTTAGCTTGTGTCGTTTTCTTTTCGGGTGCTGCTGCTAGTGCTGTAGTAGCAGAGACGATCTTTGGTCAAAGACAGAAACGATTAAGAGCGGTGAAATATTGCACAAAGCTCTGGTTATTTAGCTGTTGAGCTAATTTCCCTGTACGGGGGGAAATGTATGTGCACAGACCGGGGGGGTGTCCGGTTTGTTAATAATATAATATAACGTCTCTATAAAATCCAAAAGGGGACTGGTGGACAGTTATTTAATCCAATAAGATTTTTTTAATAAGCTTTAATGATAACAATATATTATATTAACCTTATTTAAAAATGTAATGCAAGTTGAACACTCATTATAAATATGTAACACGGTTTCTTTAACCCCCATAAAACTGTTCGCGTCAAATTTGACCTGTTTTGACATTTGATAGCAGTAAAAACAACCTAAACGTCATTTCTTTAACTTCAAATTTGATGTTATTTCTTAAACTAACCCCAAAATACAAAAAAAGAAGAATTTTAAAAAAAGTAAATTACGTGTGCTACATTTTTTTTCTATACTGAGGCTCTTCCGGGTTAAATTTGACCCATATCTGTTGAATTTTAGCTCCACCAGCGGGTTAATAGTGACAGAGGTCGAGAAGAACCTGTTGTTCTAAAAAGTGATTGCCTGCCAAAAAATATAAACCAAACATATCTCATTAATGATGTCAAATCATTTTGAGCCAGAAAAAAACATTCCTGATACAAGGTAGATGCTGCAATCATATACTTCCTGCAAAGTCAAGTCTCATTGACATTAAAAACAATGCGTTTTTCACAGTTGTATCAAGTTGTCTAAAAAGAACTGGATTGATTATAATATAGTTACAATAATGCAGGGTTATAAAGATACTTATTTATTTTTTCATTTTATATATAACCCCTTTGTAAATCCCGTTGACTAACCAAAGGTAAACAAAGAAAGACTTTATCACTTTATGGCAAAACACCTTGACACTATCGCGAGAACTGCCTGTGTTTCACATTTGCTCAGGTTCCCACAGAACCTGCTTTTCATTGGGAAATCTTCAAACAGTGTAAAGTAATATCATGATCATACATGGTGCATAAAAGAAACAGGGGTCATACAGGGGTCACAGAGTGCCTTGACGCAGACAAGAGAGCATGGCGGTGGAGGGGTTAGCACTGTCACGTCACAGCTGGAGCCTTTCTGTGTGGTTTGAATGCTCTCCATGTCCCTGTGTGGGTTTCAGCTTCTCTTGCACAAAGGTTTATACCTTGTTTTCTGATGTCTTTTTCTTTGTGGATTTTACCATGTATTGTCTTCTCTATCTCCTGGATGCATTTTCCCTTCTGCTTCTTTCTCTAAAGCTTCATCTTCAGTGTGTTTATGAATTATAACCCAGGTTAACAGAACTACTCAGCATTTTCTACCCATGTTTTTCAGTTTACTGTGGAAGTTGTTGCTGCCCCTGCTGTTCCTCTGTGTTCTGCTCGTTGCTGTCCTGGTCCTGCTGGTGCTGGCAGTGCGTTTCTGGCTGCAGAGCAACAGGACTGTGCGGCGAGCAAGGGACGGACGTCCCACCGTGGCCTTCTTTCACCCTTACTGTAATGCTGGGGGAGGAGGAGAGAGGGTGCTTTGGTGTGCTATCAGAGCGCTGCAGAACAGGTAGAGCTGAGTGTCTTTTTGCTTTTCCTGCACAATTTTAAGGTGATTCTCAAAAGTCATAAAAGACCTCGATGTCTCCACAGGTATGCAGACATCAATTTTGTGGTGTACACAGGGGACCTGGGGGTGACAGGCCAGCAGATTCTGGAGGGAGCGCGACGTCGCTTCAACATCCTGCTCCCCCGCCCGGTTCACTTTGTGTTCCTGAGGCACCGGCTGCTCGTGGAGCCCGGACTGTTTCCTCACTTCACCCTGCTGGGACAGAGCGTGGGATCTGTCTTCCTGGGGTGGGAGGCACTGACAGAGTTTGTTCCAGACATTTACATCGACTCCATGGGTTATGCCTTTACTCTGCCTCTGTTCCGCTACCTGGGAGGCTGCAGCGTGGCTAGCTATGTTCACTACCCCACCATCAGCACTGACATGCTCTCTGTAGTCAGAGAGAGAAACCCCAGGTATACGCTGTGTTCAAAGAGCACGTTAACTGATTGTGTTCTTAATTAATTAATTAATTTTTAAACAGCTGTTTTCTAACCGTCTCACACTGTTAATGTCTCAGGTTCAACAACCCAGACTACATCTCCAACAGCCTCTTCCTGAGTGCCTTTAAGGTGGTCTACTACTGTCTCTTCGCCCTGCTCTACGGCATGGCCGGCTCCTGCAGTGACCTGATCATGGTCAACTCCTCCTGGACCCTCGATCATATCCTATCACTGTGGCGCTCCCCCAACCGCACCTGTGTGGTCTACCCGCCCTGTGACGTCAGCGCTTTCACAGACATCCCGCTCGAAGAGGACGGGGACAGGAAGTGCCACTCGATCATTTCTATTGGGCAGTTCAGGCCGGAGAAAGACCACCGGCTGCAGATTCGAGCCTTTAAAAAGGTGCTTGATAGGAGGAGGGAGGGGTTAGGGGGAAGAGAGGCGCTGAAGTTGGTTCTGATTGGTGGATGCAGGAACCAGGAAGATGAAGACAGAGTGCTCATGTTGAGGGGGCTGTGCCAGGAGCTGGGCGTGGCTGACAGGGTGGAGTTTAAGCTGAACGTACCCTTTGAGGAGCTGAAGAGAGAGATGGAGGAAGCTACAATTGGACTTCATACCATGTGGAATGAACACTTTGGAATAGGTAATCAATCCGTTTGACATAATGTCTATTTTAAAACGGGATTTTCTTGAAAATATCCAACTTCTTTCTCTTTTTCCCCCCTCCTAGGTGTCGTGGAGTGTATGGCAGCAGGGAAGGTGATTCTGGCTCACAAGTCTGGCGGCCCCAAGTTGGACATTGTTGTACCTTTTGAGGGGGGTCAGACTGGCTTTCTTGCTGATGACGAGGACGGCTATGCAGAAGCCATCCAAAGGATTCTGGCTATGCCGCCAAGCAGCCGCCTGCAGATCAGGCGCAACGCGCGTCAGTCTGTGGCTCGCTTCTCAGATCAGGAGTTTGAAGCCTGCTTTCTAGCCGCTGTTGAGCCACTCATAGGAACGCTCGAGCGATGAGAGGAGGAATTATTCTACATGTGTGTTTGTGCACGTGTCGTGATGTTTGATACTTGGAGCACCTTTCCTCTCATGCACTTAGAGCTGCAGATCAGTCATGTGCTCACGCAGAGAGCTGTGGATAAAAGACTCCCAAACACAGGTATTGAAAGGTTAGTTCCAGGATTTCTCCTAAAAGTAGAAATGAGAGAGAATAAAGTTTGAATCAGAACAACTGAAGGCTCTAATTTGGGGTGAAAAACCCACAAAACAACAAAACTAAGTGATGTTTTGAGCACACTGCTCCACTCAAGGATCAAAGTCATTCCCATAAAACGTGAATATGACTCAGATAATAAATCTTAATGTAAGTAATGAAAATGTTCTTCATATAGTGGGCGTGAATTCATCCACAATCCTGTGTTTAGAAGTTAAACATTGTCTGTTGTTCCAGTTTTGTTAAAGTGGTGCGTGTTAAAGGGATGTTTCACCCCAAAGTGGATCTACTGTGATGACATTTATCCATCTGGATTGTTTTGGTAGGTTTGCCATAGACAGTAGAAATAAAGTAATAAAACTTTATGGTCCTTTGAGCATCATCGTAAGTTTTTGTTTTTTTAAAGAAAAGCAGCATTTTGATCCTTTGAGTACTACAAGGCCAGTGGCAACTATATTCTTTCATATTCAAGAGGCCTCCAAAACAGCTGGATAAAAGCACAACAGAGCGGTGTTAAGATGTGTTATAGTGGCTGACTGAAGCCTAAATCCCTCATTAAATGAGGATGAGCATCATGTACTCCAATCAGAGATTTTATCAGATGATGATTAAAAAATTAAAAAAGTAAAGATATGGTGATTTAGTCCACAGAGTGGTAAAATAAACATTTGAATTAAAGTTCGTTATTTTAACGCTGAGTGCGCTCTCAGTGCTGCTTTTTATTTCTAACGTGATCGCTGCACATTAGTGCTCTGAAACTTTAAACGATACTCCCCCACAGCCTAAAAAACAGACGTGGAAATCTCTGTAGTTTGTCACGTGATTAAAGCGAAATTAATTTGACTGAACATTTATTCTTTGTGTGTTAGATAGAATCAAGTCATTTTTTGGGGGTGAACTGTGTCTGAAGGGGAACAAATCGTGTGCTAAACTATGCTGAAAAGGGAGAAAAATAACAGGAAACATATTCATTCTTTACAAGAGTTCGAGTTCCTCACATTTCCAGAATGTATTTTTGATATCAAGGATGAATGTAATAAATGTGGGAGGGATTGTTGCTTTTGTGTCTCACTATATAAACTGCTAACAGCTAACAGTCTGGACTGTTCTTATCAGGCCTATAAATTGTCAAAATGCCCGAACCTGACCTGAAGTTGAAATGTGCTGACAGATGGGGTCAGTGATCTGTAAAGATGAAGAAAACAGAGGGGAGATTAACATGACTGAAATAAAAACCACTTTATGCAAAAGCATTTCTCAGAGCTGTTATCATCAGTCTCGTCATCGCTGCAGAACAAGTGGATATATAAGGTGGATTGAGACAGTTTTCTTTAAATTGCATCGTAAGTCTGCAAATATATATTATAAAGGGTCTCGAGTAGCTTCTAAATCATCAGAATTTTTCTCATACATTTAAGAAAGTCTCATATAGAGCATGCACAAATATTTACTAATTTAATTTAGCACATCAGCCTGGACTCACCTTTTTTTCCTTTCTTCTCTTTTTGTTTTTACACTCAGTACACATTTCTATCATCCTTACAATGGGCATGTGACTGGGACATACTGGTTTATCATATTGAACTTTGAACCTCCTACCATTCATGTAGAGGACTCAGGATCAGAATGGCCCTAAAGCATGCCTGACATATTGCATGCAGCAGGACATCCCGGTTGTTTGTCACATTGCATTTGACGTACAGTGTATTAGGACATCGTATGGTAGTATGGGTACTGGAATGCACCCAAAGGACATAAAAGGAAGCTGGGCAGACAGGACAGTGCAAGAGAGGGAGGCTTTGTTTTTGGGGTTATGGAGTTTAAGAGGCGGTGCACAGGTTCAGTGCTGAGTATATTTAGACAAGTAGATGAACCTTTGAGGCATTTTGGTTTGGTGCCCATCGTCAAGATGAAGTCATACGTGCTCCTCCCAGCCCTGCTGCTGTCTCTTGGATGCACAGGTGAGTAACTTTCTGTCCTGATCCCTTCAAAATAAGATTCAGTAACTTCACCTTTCCCTCCTCCTTGTCTGTGGCTTTGAAGGCATCCCACTTCACAACTCTGAGCTGCAGTCTGCGGCAGACAGCGCTCTGGGAGCAGCTTTGGCAGAGGTCAACTCTGTGTATGCTGCCAGCCACCTTTACCGGGTCACTACAGGCTCTGTCTCAAAGGTGAGCCTGTTGTGTGCTTAATGCAATTAACAGTATGGCAACAGCTGATTTGTCCTGACTATCCCACGTGTGACAGGTCATCCCCACGGGCCTGGACACCGTCGACCTGCTGATGGTTTTTCGGATTAAGGAGACTCAGTGTGCAAAGACTTCCCAAGACAACCCTCAGGCCTGTGCCTTCAGGCCTGGCTTCTTTGTGGTGAGACATTTAAACCAATGCTTTCCAAATACTTCAGTGAGATAATAAATAAATTAGCCACGTCAGAAGCTGGAATATTATGTGGATGGTTCCCTGTGAAGGGCTGATATCTGTATCCTGGAGTGGACACATGTTGACTCAGTGCTACAGCCTGTTGTTTACATTGGCACGAGTTTACTGGGCCAGAATGTGCCCCTGTGTGATTGACGGGACAGCGGCCACCAGGTATTTAAAGAAATATCACACAGACTAATGAAGCAGGGTTTTTTCTTGTTTCTTTCTCTTTTACCCACCTTCAGCCCTCCTTCACCTGTTCCACCCGGGTACGAATGATGGCCAGATCTCCCCAGGTGGTCTCTCTGAGGTGCGGCCACGATGGCAGCTCCAGCTCCAGCTCCAGCTCCAGCTCAGAGAGCAGCGAGGAGGTGAGTCAAGAGTCAGAGTGGCACAAATTAAAGAGCCAAACGGTTGTTGCCCTTTATGCACAGCGCATGAATACCCAGGCTTTGTTTCCACAGGTGTTCTTGAGAAGGAGACAGCAGTTCAATGCCCCATTTGCTAACAGAGGTAAGCACATTTTCTTTTGTCTTTTTCTTACAGTGATCTTTATTTTAAAACTTTTTAGGATGTTAAGTGCAAATAAGTGGACTAACAACCTCAAAACCTTTGGCAGTCCCAGCTACAGCTGCACCTTCAGCCCAGCCTGGTGGCTCCCGGTACAACCAGTTGGCAGAAGACCGACCCAGAGGAGACACTTTCAGCAACTATGTAGTGTGAAAGTTCAGCTATCCATGACTTTCTTTTAGGTGCTGATCATATATATTAAAAAAAAAAACTGAATTAAGATATTTTGCAAAAATTTTTTGTCCCCCTTTAATTCTCATTTAATTTACAGAGCTGCTGAATGATTATTGAAACACAAAGAAAATATAGCTGTTTTTATGTTTTAAATTTCCATTCGTCAAACATTATATTGAGCACCAATATGTTTCGAGTGTAAGCAGGGGCGGTCCTAGCCTGTTTGGTGCCCTGGGCGAACACTCCCTCTGACCCCACACCCACACATAAAACATACTAAGGATTGTACATTTACATATTTTATTGTAAAAACTGTTTTCGAAACCATGCTGAGTTTAACCAGATAAACATACAAACACACACGCACATATATATAGAGAGAGAGCGAGTATGCATTGTAGTACGGCTAACAAACAGCCATTATAATTCGTCATACAATGAGAATAGGACAAATCAAACACGGTCCAAAAGATTCAATAAGCTACATCAGTGTCTACTGTTTACTATCATAACCAAGTGGCTAACAAACATCACTATACCTACTAATTAATGTTATCTTGTTGTATCTCTGTTGTGGTCAGTGCTATCCTCTTTGCTGTTGCATGCTGGGGCAGCAGGTTGAGGGTCACAGACGCCAACAGACTAAATAAACTTATCCACAAGACCAGTAATGTTGTGGGGATGGAGCTGGACTCCGTTAGGGTGGTGCCTGAGAGGCGGATGTTGTCCAAGATGAGGAAAATCATGGATAATACCTCCCACCCACTCCTTGACATGCTGGCTAATCACAGGAGCACGCTCAGAGAGACACTGATATTACCAAAAAGCACCACTGACCGACACAGGAAATCATTCCTACCTGTGGCCATCTCCCTGTACAACTCCTCCATCTAATACACTCTTTTTGCACA